CGGCGGCCCCGGGCGCGCGGCGCTTGGGGGAGAGCGCCGGCCCCGGAATGCAGCCCCCTGGCGCCCGGCAACCCCAAATGGTTGGGGACCACTGAAATAGATTATGTCATCCCTGGTGAGCCACAATCATATGGACACGAAATACAGCTTGTGCAGTCATTTCAAAATAACTGTAAACACTGGCAGCAGATCTTTAGAAAGCAGGTTTGTTTGTATCTCTGTGAGAAGTTGGCAACACCAGAATCCCATTACAGGAAAGTGATGATTGCATAGTGGAAGCTGACGACTTTGTATGATTAGCAATCAATTGAGACACCTGTTTTGTACTGGTAAATCCCACAGTGAGTGCTGTAGTGGTGGAAGATTGCAGAATGTGTCCGTGAACATACTTCTGATTTGCAGAATGCATCTAAAAATGACAATGCACTGGGAGGAGCGAAAATTAATTTCTTCAATTTGATTCCCTATATCTTGAAAGTGATGTATCTGGTTTGATAATTACCATTGACAACTTCCCTTGCAGTGCTCTGAAAATTTAGGCATAAATGCACTTTTAAACTAATGATGCCATGTGGAAAAACTCACTGCATGCTATGATTTTCTTCTCTAGAACCAGTAGAGGGAACACTAGTTAACAAATTGTTTTTAGACCTGTGCTGATATAGAAGTACAGCTGTGAGGAAATGGTATGTTAATTTTGCATGAAAGAGGAGGATAATCTTAAATTCATTCTGGAAAAGAGGGCATAGTTATTGTTGAAGTCTGAAATGTGGTTGCAGAGGTATGGTGCTATTTTGGACACAACAGCTACTTGTATTTCTTTGATTTGTGTCTATCTTGTGATGTACTTGCGAATCCTGAAGTAGGGAAAATGCTATTCACATATAAATTTTTTATACCTTCATTTCAATTCACCTTGGTCCATGTCATTTTCTGTTACTTTAAAGCTGTCTTTAAAACTGAAAGAAGAATTTTAGGTTGTTATATGGAAATGAAGTGAAAGACTAGCTTGAGCTTCAAGAGACCATTAAAAAACATGGAGCATACATATGCATAAAATGTATACATATGCATATTTTAGTCTCTCTTTGAACCCTAACTCTATTGAGGGAAGTGTTACAATATTTCTTATCACCTAAGATCAACTTTTAATGCAAGGAGAAGCATAATTGGGTAACTAAAAATTCTTGTTATTTTGTTCAGATATGGCAGATAAGTATTACAGGAACAAGTGTGAGCCACTCATGAGAACAGGTTTTTTATTAGTGTGAGAAGAAAATGAAATCACATTTAGGTCACTAAAAACAAAAATACTGTATGCTATTTATATCTGAACCTACAAAATATAAACTTGTTTAAAGACAAAAATACTATTTGACAGGTTGTAGCATACATAATAAGATGTATGGCTATCAGCTAAAATCTGAGTTTGTTGTAGCTATACATGTTATTACTTGTAGACGTATGATCCATTACACAATGAGCCTTTAAAAACGTAACTGCTTATAAATCATTTTGTAGGGCTTTCCAAAACAACTGGAATGCTTTGTGTCACATGGCATCAAACTGCCATTCACTTGACTATGGGCTTGCAAGTAGATTGGAGAGAAGTATCTGGTTATTCTATAGTATTCTAGGTTAGTCCATGTTTGATTTGATCATGAGTATACTTGAATTGTGAACTAGAAATGTGCAATCTGCATTTGCAGGTTGTTCACATGGTTATAATTTTGTGATATTATTAAAGTGCCCAGATCAGTATCTGGTAAAAAAATTTAAATCTGTTTTAATCAGGTTATGCATCACTGTGGTATGTGTTCCGAGCCCCACTGTTGTAGACATTATCTAAACAAAAGCCAAATGTTTTCAATACAAATTTTGTTACAGAGGTTGCTATCACCAAAAGTTTCATAGGTGTTTCATTAATATTTATTGAGTATTGATCAAAAGGAGGCAATAACAGCAGTAAGAGCTTTGGACTGAACACTGATATGAAGCCTAAGGAGAAACACAGTTAAATTGTTCTTTTAAAAAAATTGTAATGCATTCATGTTCCTTTTGAGCAGGAGTTGGAAAAGAAGTTCCAGCAAACAGCTGCTTACCGCAACATGAAAGAGATTCTCACCAAGAAAAATGAGCAGATAAAAGATCTACGGAGAAGACTTTCAAGGTAAGTTGTGCTCTTCCGTCTGTTGTCTCAAGAAGTATGTTCAACCTCCATGTTGTTTCTGTAAATGTAAAACAGATTCTCCTAAAGCAGTTTTTTAACGTCTCTTTGGAATAAATTCAGTAGGACTCTTCTCAAACTTTGAATATGCCAACCTTGACCCATTTTTCATCAAAATATCAATGATTTTTTAAACATTAAAATTAAATTGGCATCTTTACAGTAACAGTGATGCCACAAATACACATTGGTAGGAAACAGTTTCATTGGATTATGACAGTCAAAATATACCCACAAGATCTGTGCACAGAGGTGCCGAACAGAGTGGCAATTGCTTCTGTTGCACTTCTATTCTCTCCTGTTCCTAATGTCAAGGTGGGATAAGGGCGATTTCTTTTTCCTTCGTGGCTTAGGTAGGAACGTAGACTCTCAGCCATCTCAAATTACAGGTACGTGACTAAGAGACAGAGAAGCAACTTGCCCAAAATCATACAAGAGGTCTGTGGCAGAACATGGACTTAAATACAGGCTTTCTGTATCTTAGACTAGTGACCTAACCCCTCAGACCTTCCTTTCTGTGGAACTATCCTGGTACACCAAACCTATGCAGTGGAAGAAGAAGAATCACTATGGGGCAGTGGGTGGCCCACTATTGAGTAGATATAGGAAATAATCTCTCTAAGGAGCTCCTGTTCCACTGAAGCTATGCTGCCAGGAACTAAAGGGGGACAAAGACCATTGGGGCCCCAGAAGCCCTGTGCAGACATGGGGCCTGAGTCTGGCTTCATGTGGTTGTTAGGGATTGGTGGGTGGCCATCAGGGCACATTCCACTGGTTGCAGGGCTGGTAAAGTGGCCAAATGAGTTTCAGTTTAAAGAGAGAATTTTTTCTAAATGAAAAATAGTTGGTTACATCCTTCTAAATTGTAAATTGCCATGAAAATGTCACAGATACAAGAAATTGGTTGAACATTTTTCTCTTTGAGGACTATCAGGTACATTATCCTCTCTAGCTCTAACTTCTTTCTTCTTAGATATGAACCAGATGATTAAAATGTGAAGAGCATTTGGTCTCTCAAGAAACTGCCACACAAAGAGAACAGATTGTTGTGTTACTTTAAGGGATTTGTTGAAATACTTTCAGAGATTTGTTTTGAATGATTTATTTTCTGCTTCAGCCAACACTTAAAAACAACCTTTTGTTGATAGGAAACTGAAATTCCTACTTTATTTACATAAGAACTGAAAGATGGGAACAAAGTTTATAGAGTGCCCTAGTTTCTATATTTATGTCTTTTTAATAGTTAACCTTGTACATTGCCTGGGAAATAGCAAACACCAAATTAAGACAGTTATTTACAAAGAAAGGAGTTTATTTTTGTCAAAATAAAATATGCATTAGTTCTTCTCTATACAGCTGTGAGATGCAATTTACATACTTAAGATGTGGCTTTTTTTCATTCTGTGGGCATAACTTTCCCAGAAAAACACCAATATGCTAACTTCATAAAATTAATTTTCTGTCTGTCAGTTTTCCTCTGTGCAAGTTATTTGCTGAATATAGGGTGTGCATTAGTTAATAGGGAACAAATATGCAATGTGGGAATCAAACAATGTGTACTCGACTGTGACATTACTAGTAATGATATACATTCAGCATCAATTTTTATCAAACAGTTTAGTTCAAATTTGAAGGGGAAAAAAAAGTACTTGCTGGCTTCTGCAATATATCACAGATATAAATTGCTCAATAGGAATATAGAATAAAAAGTGTATTTCTCCCTCACGGGCATGGCTCAGAACTTTAACTTGAACACTGGTATTTTGATTCTTTCAAAGTATTAAGGTTAAGACTACATTATCTAGAGAAGCTGAGGAAGCTGGTGCCAGAGCAACTTTCCAGGGGAAAACGTTATGGGAGTTTTTTTCCTCTTTTTCTGTTGCACACTTAGCTACCCAGTTTTTAGACCAAAACCCCCTCTGTATTTACCTGCCAGCCTGTTTTAATATATTTTATCTGTTTGTCTCTCTGTTCATATATGTGTTGCATATAACTCTAAATAAAACCACTTATGTTTTTCATCATCAAACTTTGGATTTTGGAGTGTGGTTTCTTTACAAGGACCATCATGCTTGTTTTTTCATGGCAACAGGACAGTTGAAATTGCTTTGGGGAGTGATGTTTCTCTCAGTGAAGAGAGTTTTGCACTAAATCACCCCGGATTGTTTGATTCCTTTGTCTTTTTATTTTGAAGTAAAAGTCTTCGGTGATTAAGTGGGCTAGTCAACACACAAGGCCAAATGTTCTGTAGCACATACTACAGTAAAACTCCAGTGGTCTGGCACGCCTGATGGTCCAGCACCATCTGGAACCCAGAAGTGGCTGCTGAAACTGCCCAGCAGCTGACATGCTGCCATGTTGGTCCCGTAGCATTGCCCCTCGGCTCTGCGGGACGAACCCAGCAGCACCCCCAGCTGCTCTTCCCCAGACTTCCCCAAGTCAGCTGCTGCTGAAACTGACCAGCGGCTGACTCCGGGAAGCCCGGGGCAGAGGTGCTGTGCCCTGGGCTTCCCGGAGTCAGCCGTTGGTCAGTTTCAGCAGTGGCTGACTTGGGGAAGTCTGGGGCAGAGCAGCTAGGGGTGGTGCTGGGTTGGTCCCTCAGAGCCGAGGGGTGCATCCCCCCCCACTCCACCCAAGACCTCTCATAGTCCCCCGTGCCTATAGTCCGGCATATCTGATAATCTGGCACCCCCTGGGTCCTAAAGGTGCCGTATTATTGGAAGTTTACTGTACAACACTAGTACAATAATGATATAATAAGATTGGATGTGCAGCATTAAGTTAAATTAATGGAAGCTGTTGCCTTATAGTATCATCAGGTCTTAATATGACTAGTTCAGTCCATTTATTGTTAGACCTTATCTTTTCATTATTGTACACTGTCAGTTTGAGGGCTGTATTGCTCTGTATTTAAAATAGCAACTTTAACTTTTTCTTTTTAGGAAATAAAGTTCTTTACGTAAAGATGAAGAGATTTCCTTCTGGTGTGTGTTCTCAAGGCTAGGTGTTTGCACAAATCCTGTCTAAAAATATCACACTCAGTCTTGCACCATTTTCATACAATTCATTTATCCTTTAGTCAAACTATAAAGTTCCTTGCAAAAAATTGTGTCCCAGGAACACTGATTTTGGGAAGTTTGGAGTGGAAGAGGGTTGTAGCTATAATTTAGGAGAGAATTGAGCAAGAATTTATATTCAAAGGGTGGTGCAACTGATTGACTTCATTGGTAGGAATACCGAATAATGATGTATTTGGGGTTATAGAGGATACTTATTCAGGATACTTATTTTATACTACAAGATTTAGCCAGCATTGCTCAGATCCTTCAAGGCAGGGGGCTTCAGGTGTGGGGGATGCAGGAATCAGGGCAGGGGAATGGGAGGTGTGGGGGGCTGAGGCCAGGAGGTGAAGAATGCAGGAGTCAGGGCAGGTAGCTGAGAGGTATGAGGGGGCTGAGGGCATAAAGTGGGAATACAGGAATCAGAGCAGAGGTGGGGAGCTCAGGGGAGTGGCTGGGAGGTATGGGGGGGGCTCAGTGCAGGGGACTGGGAGGTTTGAGAGGGGCTTACTAGGGCCGTCCACCGTGGCAGCAATGGCAGTGAAGGTGGTGCGGCTCTGACAGCAGCTCCTCATGGGGTGGGAAGGCAGGGCTGGTGGGAGAGTAGCTCCTCATCTGATGCTGCAGATGAGCAGGAGGGGCTTGAGGGCAGGGGGGGCACTTACCTGGAGATCCCTGGCCCCAGCTGGCCACTCTCTCCCTGGTACTGCTGACCCCTTGTGGTCATTCTTCAGTATAACTGTCTTCCTCACTTAGGGTACATCTAAACTACATGCCTCTGTCGTCAGAGGCATGTAGATTTGTTGTTTTGGCAAAGGCAAATGAAGCCGCGATTTAAATGATCGCGGCTTCATTTACATTTACATGGCTGCCGCGCTGAGCCGACAAACAGCTGATCAGCTGTTTGTCCGCTCAGCGCGCTAGTCTGGACGCTCCCCTGCCGAAATCAAAGCCCTTTGTCGGCAGCCACGGTAAACCTCGTCCCACGAGGAATAACGGGGCTACCGACAAAGGGCTTTGATGTCGGCAGGGGAGCGTCCAGACTAGCGCGCTGAGCGGACAAACAGCTGATCAGCTGTTTGTCCGCTCAGCGCGGCAGCCATGTAAATGTAAATGAAGCCGCGATCATTTAAATCGCGGCTTCATTTGCCTTTGCCAAAACAACAAATCTACATGCCTCTGACGACAGAGGCATGTAGTCTAGACACAGCCTTACTGAACATCCCATCTTCCTGGCACAGCCAAACCCTGATCTTGCATTAAGAATAAGAGGAAGCTGCATACCAAATTTGGTGGCCCTAGCTCTTACAGTTTAGGAGGGATTCTTGGACAGACAGACACACAAACTCTCTAAAATAAATAGAGAGAAATACTTGAATTTATATTAACCAAATAAAACTAAATAAAACCAAACTTGTGTTACTTTAAACTGAATTAATCTAAACCTTCTTAGGGAAAAATGCTAACAATGAGCTACAGCATGTTGTGTAAGTGGAGAAATACATATATATAGTCAGATGCTGCTCTTGGAGCTTAATGTGGCCTTATTTATACATTCAAGGAAACATCAAGAGCTTCCATTGCCAGCTTAGGAGCCACTGGTTTAGTGTGTGTGTATATCCACAGATCTATGGACTATTTATTAAGGGCCCAATCCTCATGGTCAGTAGTCCCACTGAAATCAATAGAACTGTTAGTGTGGGTAAATGCACTGTTTCACAACTGAGTTCTAAAACACGTGGTAGGTTAGGAGTGTTAGCCTGGGAGAAAGAAAGCAAAAGGTCTCAAATTGATATTCATGCCAGTATTTTCTCTTTGTTGATAAACTCAGTTAGGTCTGTTGACTCAGATAACTAGAGTCGGTGATCATTGCTATCCTTACACTGTCTACTTGGACCCCAATTTGACAAAGTAGTTAAGCATGTGCTTAAGGACCGCTGAAGTCACTTGGTCATGGACATGGTCTCTTCAGATAACCTAGGCAAAACTTAGAGAATGCTGAATAGCAGGGCCAACTAATGAATTTTATTCTATATTTCACAGAGAGCCAGTGCAGACTATGAAACATTAGGGTGATGTGCTCTTGTTGGCTTGTGTTGCTAGGTTGGAAGTTGCTGCATTCCAAACCAAATGGAGCCCTTAATACAATTTGTTCAAAAATCCATGGGTCAGTACATAATGTGCATGTAACATTAAGATGGGAACACAGCACTGTAAGACAATACGTAAATTTGTATTTCTGAACTTTTCCAAAGGTTCTGCTCTCTCTAAAATGAGAATCTCAATTGCACATCTACTACCTTTTCTCTTTAGAAATGCATTAATTCCCTAGTTCTACATGGGGAAAAAATGTAAACACAGTATTCCTCCATAATCTGCTGATCGGAAAAAATCAAAGAAGAAATCAAATCTCTCTAAAGCTGCTTTTGTGCTTGAGAAGTGAAGCATGTTTTCTGCAAGAGCAAAATTCAGGCAGCTTAGCTTCATCTCTATTAACTATGACAGAATCAACAATCAGCAACCAGTAAGACATAATTTGAGTTCAGCAGTTGGTCATTAATAAACTCAGAGGTCATGGTGCACACTAACGTTTTAATGGGTATGTTCTCTGCCCCTTCCGAGTGTGTGCATAAAATACCACCCTGTGTGTTTTTCTCTTATGAATAATAGTTTCATAATGGAGGCTGAGTACACTTTTTTACACTGGAAGTATTACCACCGCAGTCAGCAGAGCTACTTGCATGAGCAAAGTTTCTTGAATTGGGCCATAGTGGCCATATCCCATAGTGGCCATATCCCATATAACTTGTCTTTAAGGCTCCCCTGTGATTGCTCATTTAACTGCCTCCCAAAATACCAGCTAACTAGTTTTATCAAGGTTCCATTATTTGTCTTTCAGACATTGTAAAGGACCATTCCTGGCAGCTGAATGATACCGACTACTGCAAAAATATATCAGATTGATTCTTTCATGTAGTAAATGCAAATTGTTTCAGCTGGTTAAACTTCCTAAGTTTAGCAAGAGACAATGCTTTCTAGAAAAAGAGACCTTCTGAAATATATTGAGTAAATGCAACGATCAGTATAATTTGAAACTAAATGTGTGTAATAAATAGACAATATTATTTTAAAAGCTCTTTTAAGCAAGCAGGTAGAGTTTCCATCTTGAACTAAGCACAGCACTAGCCTGCTCACTTTCCTGGGGCTAAGCTATATTGTTAACTTGATAACAAATAGATCATAAGCATCAGCCTAAAATTTCTGCCCAAGTTTGGTAGTGCTCACTGTTTTCTCAGCAGGTCCTCCTCTGACACAGTCAGTGTTCCCAGAGAATCATAGAAAAGATTCAGTGCTTTGTGTCCTGGTTGGGGTAATAAGATCCATCTGCAAAAATATATCTGCTATTATATGCTGTCCAAATACATATCATTATCCTTGGATCTGCTAACCTGTTAACACCTATGGGTGGCTACATGTCATTCTGTCTCTGGGTATGTCTACACTACCACCCTAGTTCGAACTAGGGTGGTAATGTAGTCAACCGGAGTTGCAAATGAAGCCCGGGATTTGAATTTCCATGAGGAAATTTTGCGTTCCACGAGGAGTACAGGTAGTTCGGAATAGGAAGCCTAATCCGAACTACCTAGTTCGTGCCACGCGTAGCCGCGGGCACGGAGTCCGAACTAGCAGACTTTAAAAATGGCGGCGCCCGGCAACATGCAAATAAAGCCCGGGAAATTCAAATCCCGGGCTTCATTTGCAACTCCGGTTGACTACATTACCACCCTAGTTCGAACTCGGGTGGTAGTGTAGACATACCCTCTATGACTTGGAAAAAATCAACGTGTTTCCCAAGTATTGCTTAGGTAATCCTGTGAATTCTTGTAATATATAGATCACATTGCTTAGTAGACAAAGAGTTTTAAAGAATTCTAGTTGATCCCTTATATGCATTAGAATAAATAAAAATG